GGTACGTGAATCTTTCATTCAAAGTGAACAATCTTAAACTCAGATCAACGCGTTCTTCCATCTTTATCTCTTGATAATTATTGTGTTACTATCAACCTCTTATATCTCTAACATTACTTCTTATTTTTTGGAATGAATTTAATCATTTCACGTATACCTATATAATAACAAGGATTAAAGACTCTGCCTAACATATATTCATGATAGGATTCAATTATATATATATTGATTTAGCAACAATATTTATCAATAACAAAATACAACACCACGCAATGGGATTTCTTCTTCTTCTTCTTCTTTTTTTTTTCTATTCTATTTGAGTGAGATGCATGAATGATATGCATAGACTATTTAATAAATATCATATATTGTTATTATAAAAATTTATAATTAATAAACATTGTCAAAGAGGAAAGCTTTAAAGTTTATAGAGTAATTAATTAAATTATTAATATAATGCACTCTCTCTTTCTTATAATCAGAGTTTAAATTCTTTTTTTTTTCTTATTTTTTTATGGGAATTTTAACAAGTTCAACTAGTACGTGGACATATTTTATAAAAAATAAACACTATCAAATAAGTATTATTGACTTAACGTTGTCTAGTGCACCCAAAAATTGATTTTTTTTTTTTTTTAGCCATCCCCAATTTTGAATAAGTGAAAGTCAAGAAAGATGTGAGGAAGTGTTCCGGAGAATAAATATACGTTAATGACCAAAGTATCATAACATATAATAGGAGACTTTAACATGTGAGTAATTAAGTTAAAAGTACTTTACCAAAAAAAAAAGAATTAAAAGTACAAAAGGAAATTACTACAAGTTAAAATAATAACTAAATAAATAATAAATTAATCAATCAGTCAAGTATTTATGCATAAGAGATTAAAATAATAAGTAAATAAATAAATAAATAAATAATTAATTAATTAATTAATTAATTAAAAGGTCTCTATAGCCCATGTGATGTTATGCGGTTTCGAATGTACCGGTTCGTATTCTTTTGCAGCCTGTCTATTTCAAAACAACAATTATTTATTCGGACAAGGAGAGAGCTAAAAAAAAACAAAAAAAATCGGGATTATATGAGCCGCAATACCTACAATGTTAAACACGCTTCTTCTTTTTCTTTTTTCTATTTTAAATGAAAACCATGAACACGTGTTTAAACAAAAACAAAGGTTTTTTTTTTTTTGGCATTTGAGGATTTATTTGGTATTAAAAAAATTTAAACCTTTAATATTAATCTCAAATTAAAATTTTTTAAATTAATAAGTATTAAGTTGATCAAACTTTTATTGGTAAAAAAAGAATTTTTTAAGTTATATTCTAAATGTACATATTAAAAGTATTTTTTTATAAATATATATAAAAAATTATAAAAATTGATATTAATTTTTGTGTTAGTACTA